GACTGATCGCGTGAGTGGCCCGTCCTGGTGCGTATCCTCGCGTTCTTCTCGGAGTGTTCTCGAGCACCGGCTCATTGTGGCGCTGCAGGCGCCAGTCGCCGATCGCGCGCACCAGTCCCATAGGGACTCTCGTGTCAAACCCCGACCGCGAGCTTCCAGCGAGAGCGCTGTACGCTCGATATTGGTGTTTGACTCGGCGGGGGCCTTATGCGGCTCTTGGATGGGAGGCGTCGCGCGTGCATCTTCGACTTGGGAAGCTCTTCGGCTGTGACGGCTGGGGCATCTTCCTTTCGGAGAAGTATGTGCACGAACGTAGAGATGCGTATGTGTTCTCTTGCCTTGTGTCTCGTTATCTTGTCTGGCTTGGTTATATTTCCGCTCGCTGTGTTGTACGATTAGTGCTGTCTGTCGTCTCGTGTGTCGTCTGATCTTGCGTTGTTCTATGACATACCTCTGTACATGTACGTGCTGCTGCTATCGCGTGCCACTTCCGCTCCGCTCCGTTAGATTTTGTGTCATATCGGATACTCCCTGTTGCTTCCCCATTTAGCTATTCCTATTGCTATCGTCGTGATGTACAAGTTTGTTGTGACGTATAGGTTGGAGTGTGGTCACTCGCGAGCAGGTGCTGTCCCCGTTTGAGCTCGCAGATCGCTCGGCGATTCTGTCTCATGTCATGATGGCGGTCGTAAGGACAGGAGCCCTTCACATCATGTATGTTAACCCCGTCCAGATACCAGCACTCGAAACGTCGGGCTGTCCACCTCTTCTCACTTCTTCACGTGGTAACGTACGACCCCACTCTAGCTCCCGGTGTAGTATATCATCTTAATGCTTCGGCAGGCCAGTGGGTCACCCCGCTTTCCGTCGGTCACACCCAGTGAGAACTTACATGGGCTCAGCTGGTTGAGGTCGGCGAAAGTCGTGTGAGAGCGGTTGAGGTCGGGACGTCTCGGTTTATGTTGGGCGGACGATTTTAGGCGCTCAATGCGTGTCTCTAACTGACCTCACGGTGACCGGATCGGACACGCAGTACGCATGTCCTGACACCGGTGACGTCGACTTAAGCCTGTCTCTAACTTGTGTCTAACCTGTCCGTAGCATGTTTCTAGCTATGTAATACATTACCGTATGTCCACAAACTAGTACGCGTGCCCTTTAGGCCAGCCGTCCCAGGTCTGTCTGCGTGCACTTTGCTCCTGCTCCCAAGCCCGCCACGTCTACCCTTCCGAAACCGCATCCCCACTCGGCTCGCAACGTCTTCTCAATGCCCCCAACAACCGACACTACGCCTCGCAAATGGTACTGCAATTGTGCGAAGTATTGCAGAGGCCGGCAGCGCGAAGTCTCGGAATCCACGCATCGCAACCACGCACGGTATCGCAACCAACGATTGCAAGAGGCCCTTGGTCGCGCGCTTGGGACCGGACAACCAGCTCAAGCGACAGGGCAGCCGTCTGCGAGGGCCCGCAGAAGACGTCGACGCACACCTGACAACTTACAGCCTGGCCCGTCGTTTGCAGGAGGATCGTTCGCCTTGCCTCAAGACGACGCACGTGAAGACAGCGAGCCTCCGCGCGAGGTAAGTTGCAATTATTATACGCTGCCGTCGCAGGGATGGTCTCCGCGGAGCTCGGACGGCGCATATACACGCACTTTACGAGCTCTGCGCATGAGCGCCTCGATGATCGTCGGAGAGGTCGCGTTCCACATATCACGCTGGTTGCGCGTGTGCACGCGTGGCAGTCTGTGGCTTCCGCATGATAGAAGGACTGACGATACCGTTGGAACCATGCAACACGCCTCCTCGTTCTACGTATGGTTTCACTGATATGGTGTAGATCTCACCAGTGCAAGACGATCCCCTGCCGTTCCAGGACGCTGAGCTGGAGCCACCACAGTCCCATGGAGCTGAGACCCCCCCACGTGGATCGTCGCCCCCAGGCCGGCCTCGCGCACGGGTCGAGGACGACGTCGCCGAGGAGGAGCCCGAGTTTGGCAGCAACGACCCGACGGGAACACTGCCTGAGCCGACACTGGAGGAGTTGAAGCAGGCAATCGCATTCATCAAAGCCCTGGAAAATGCGACCCTCGAGGAGTCTGGGCTCGATCCGACGGTCATAGAACGGATGCACAATCCCCAGCGGGATGGTGAGATTCCCGACCTGATGGCGCCCGAAAATCGTGAGCTCCGGCTCGCGCTTCAACAATTTATTATCAACGGCCACTCGGAGCAGGCGTATCGAGACAACAGGGAGTCCTTTATGCAGTACGACGAGGGGGTCGTGCTCCCGACTTACGAGGCGATGCAAAAACTGGTGCAAGACTTGAGCGGGGTGGTCCCGATTGTTACTGACATGTGCTCAGAAACCTGCGTTGCGTACACAGGTCCCTTTGCTCATCTCGAGCGCTGCCCCTATGACTCCTGTGGCGCACCGCGCTACGAAACGCGCGGCAACAAACGCGTCGCGCGCCGCACGTTCCAGACGCATCCCTTAGGGCCTCAGGTACAGGCTCTCTACCGATCGCGTCATTGCGCCAAACGCATGCGTTATCGCGAGAGAGCGATGGAGCGTTTACTGGAGATGGCTAACGCGCAGAAGATGGTTGAAGTTGCTGAGGACGTGTTCTTTGCAGAGGAATATCTCAGGCTTGTCGACAATGGGACGATTCTTGAGGATGATCTGGTTCTGATGCTCTCGCTTGATGGCGCTCAGCTCTATGAATCTAAGCAGTCCGATTGCTGGATCTACATCTGGGTTCTATTTGATCTGGCTCCCGATGTTCGATACAAGAAGCGCTACGTCTTACCTGGGGCGTTCATTCCTGGGCCTAACAAGCCAAAAAATCTAGACTCGTTTCTCTTCCCTGGGCTTCACCATGTGGCTGCCCTTCAGAACGCTCCCCTGAAAATCTGGGATTCGTACCGTCAAAAGCTGGTGCACTCGCGCCCCATCATACTCTTTGGGACAGGCGACACGCCCGCTATGGCGTACATGAACGGTCTTGTCGGACACTCTGGGGCGCATGGCTGTCGACTTTTCTGTCCACTGAAGGGGCGTCGAAAACCTGGTGGCGGAGGTCACTACTATCCTGCAATGCTGAAGCCTTCGGACCCGAACTATGAACGCGTCAGGGGCAGCACACATCCCGACTACTCCCTTCGAGAACCCCCTGGAACGAACGAGACAAACTCGGAGCGGTACCAACGCCATCTGGCGGAAGTTCTCGCATGTCGCACTCAGGGCCAATATGTTAGGACGCGCCTTAACACCGGGATCGCCAAGCCATCTATTTTCATGGGACTCCCTATCAACTGCGGTTTCCCTGGTACCTTTCCGGCTGACATCATGCACCTGCTTACCCTTAATGTCACTGAACTCGTGATTGGCTTACTGCGCGGCAATCTCAAGCGATCCGAAACAGACTCTTTGGCTGACTGGGACTGGGCATGCTTGCGGGACGATGACATCTGGCAGGCGCACGGCAAACTCGTCGCGCAGGCGTCCCTCTATCTTCCTGGCTCTTTTGATCGACCCCCTCGTAACCCAGCTGAGAAGATATCGAGCGGATACAAGGCATGGGAATTCATGTACTACGTCTATGGGTATCTACCTGGTCTGCTTTGGGCGGTGCAAAAACCAAAGTATCATTCACATCTCTGCAAACTGGTCTCGGGTGCTCGGGTCGCTCTACTCGTGAAAACTCCTGTGGAGCGTCGTGGGCCAGCGCACAACCTCTTGGTGGACTATGTGGAGGAATTCGAGGACTCCTTCTATGCCCGGCGCGTTGATCGGCTCCACTTCTGCCGCCAGGCGCTACATGGGCTCACACATCTCATGCCTGAAAACATTCGTGTTGGACCTGCCTGGCTACACTCGCAGTGGCCCTTGGAAAACGCGATAGGGAACTTGACTGCAGAGATCGGCTCACACTCGAAACCATACGAAAATCTCTCCCTCCGTGGTCTCCGGCGCGCGCAGATCAGCGCCCTTGTGGCGATGTTCCCGGAGGCCCTGGAGAAACCCACTCACCTTCCACGGGGGTCAGTGGTTCTGGGTGACGAATACATTCTGATGCATCCTACAGCGCGCAGCCCGACACTAGTTCCCAATGGCGACGCACGTGCTCTCTGCGCGTTTCTGACCTCTCATACAGTCCGTGTGCCTGCGGGATGGAGGCCGCGTGTGACCAAATGGGGCCGTTTGCGTCTTCCCAATGGACAGATTGCGCGTACTGCCTGGAAGGAATGTCAGGGCGAGCGTCGAGGCCGCCCAGTCCACCGCGCGCGCATGGTGAAGGTGCCAATTTTTTTTAACCTAGAGAGATGCTTCGGAAACTCACTGGCATGCCTTATTCAGTTCGCCGACGACCGATTTGGAGAGATACAATACTTTTTTGGGCTCAAGAAAATGCATGACGACGGAGGTACAGACGAGGTTGATATGACTTTGGCCATGGTCTCGATGTTCACGCAACCCGACCCGGCGATTTTGAACGACACACATGGGGCCCTGATGGCCTGCCGCTATCAAGGAGACCAGTCCCGGGAGGTGGTTGATGTCAAGGACATCATTTCCGTCGTCGCCATGGTGCCTCTCGCGCCGAGACGCGAAGAGGCGGAGGACCCGCATTTCGCAGAGCTGTATACGCGTAGGTTTTTCGTCGTGGAACGCCTGGGCTTTGACATGTCGTGGATAGGACGCGAGGAGAGGGCGGCCGACGAGGATGACGAGGATGGTGATGCATGATTTCTTGTATGAGACTTTCGACTAGAATTGTATACACCCTAGATCATACAGGATAATGTTCGGACACAAGGAAAATTTTATTAATGCACAGGGCGCCTGAGGCGAACATACAGTGGGCATACAATGACAGGCTACAATGATAGGCTAGGCGCGTTTTGTGGAAAAGCCGGAAGAGGAAGTGCTATAGTCGTGCCACAGAGACTGTGCTTTATGGACAGGAGGAAGTTTGGGGTGCGTACTCGGGGTGGATGGGGGTGATGAATGGGATGGGATCTGACCCCACCCAGAGGAACGGAAAGCCTGCAAAGGGCCCGAGGGGCGTCTTGGGGGGACAAGGGGTAGGTGGAATGAAGGAGGTTTGACAGAATTGTTACGAACAGGAGAGTGAATGGGAGGGCGGTCCTCGCGCGACGCGCACGCGGGAGAGGGAGGGGAGTCGTCGGATGATGGGCTACGGTATGCCATGCCACCAGAATAGGGTGAGGAGTATGTAAACTTTGGGCGAGCACAATGACAATTAGTACGCACCAGATATCCTCCAAAATGTCGCCCAAGTTGCTTGCATCCAATAAACGTTCAAACACGTCACCAAATTTGGCATCCAGGTCGAGGAACAATTGGCCGGCAGCAGCGTCGTCGAGAGCATGGGTGTGGGGACAGTCCTGCCTGTCAAGAACATACGCCTCACGCGCTGAGAACAAGGCCAAGCGGAGGAGGCTGTACGACAGGTGCCTCCTTGCAGGTGCATCCGAGGGTGGCGGAGTTGAACGATAAGCTTCAAAGGCCTCCAGAAAGTACCTTGCACTATAATCACTACGACGGGGACTGACACCAATGAGATACTTAGGTAGAGCAAGACAGGTAGGAACACGTACCGCGAATCCTCAGGAGAATCATCAGAACAATCATCGTCTCCACCCATGGCCGTCAAGAACTCCAGAACCGGACGAGGTATGTCGTCCGCGTACGGCGGGCCACCAGCGACCAGACCACGCATGCGACGGATGGCGTCCATGGTTGCCCCGCTATGCAGAATAGAAGCCAACAAGCTAGGAAGAGACTTTAAAGACCGAAGACGAAGATCGTAGAAGGGCAGAAGACGAAAATCATGGAACTCACGAAGCTGCAAATCATGCAAATCCCTTACCTGCCTGTTATGGTCATGGGCGTCTAATGATTCTGCCAGACGTCTTGCATCCTCTACTTACATCCTTACTCTCTTGCAGCTCATCTTCCCTCACCGCAAAAATGTCTGTACACTCCCCTTCTCCATCGTCGTCCCCGAGACCCACCCAGATCCAATATGGTTTTCCCCTTTCACGATCCCAATCTGTTTCCGGTTCCCTTACCCAGTCTCCATCTTGTTCGCGCTCTCAGTCTGTAGTCCGCAGATCCCGTCATGATGAGACGTTCTCCTCTCAATCACGCTCACTCGTCTCTCCATATAGCTCCTCTTTTAATTTTTCTGCTGCCTCGCCCCGTGTAAGGGGCTCACATTCTTTGCCTCACGCTTTCGAGCATCCCCCTACCCCAAATGTTCCCACCGCCTACCCTTCTCCCTTCATGTTCTCTCCTCACAATGACCAGCACGCCGCATATACGCACTCTGTGCCCTCTTTGGTGCGTTTTCAGTTCTAGTAACCGCGCATATACTCACCTTTTCCGCAGGCCTCTTCGGTTTCGTCACCCCTGCCAGGTCCCGCCCACTCTTCGATTGCCTACATCGAAATGGGAGTGAGGCTTCAACGTCTCGAGCAAGACTATCTAGAGATGCAGTACCTCACATTTTCATTAGTCGCCCACTTGCTCTGCTCTGACACACTTCCAGCCGACGACTCACCGAACACGGCATCCGTTTGGACGCGCTGCAGTAAGTTGTATTCCCGTGCAACACTTGTTAATTCGAAACTGACATATTTAAAGGACCGACAAGACACCCACAACGACGACAGGTGATGGCGAGGACAGCCGAGGTACGCTGTTTCATTGTTAAGCCTGTCATGCGCTCTCATACCACCCCAGCAACACTTAAACGCCTCGTGCTTGAGTCCGTCTCTGCCACCCATTCTCTGAGGGACGGAGAGCCCCCAGGTTATGATGTTATTCGCAAAGAAGGCGATTTCCCTAATGTGCGTATCCACCACATGTCACCTTCTTCGAACATCTCACTGACGATTTGCCCCCACCCCAATCTGGCTTAGCTCAAATTTTTCACAGAACGACAGTGGAACAAGTACAAGCGCGACAACCCAAAAACCACGCGCATCGGGGAGGAACCTGTTCGCGGCAGGAAAATGTCGGCACAGGGGATCAATCACACGGCTCCCTACGTCGAGTACCCCGACGGCACCCCTGCCGAGGGCGACTACATCAACGACGCCCGCAAGTTCTGCCGAACCCTGATCAACCTCGCCCGAGGAGTTCAATACCCACTCCCCAAGAAATGGGGCGACACTGACACTTGGTTACAGGAGTTATTCCTCACCGCGCTCCGCAAAAAATTCCCCCTTTTCCAGCTCTGCCACAACAACTCGAAAGGACACGCTTTCATGTACTACACATACTACGAGGCCGTCACGCGCAAATGGGACAAAGCAAGCTCGCAAAACGTCGACCTCAACCAAGCTCTCCACACGATCTCCGCCGGGTCCGACTTGGAAGAATCTGAGTCGGAGTCGGCGCGTCGTCGCGACGTTCGTAGGACTGGGCCCTCAGAGAAGTCTACTTCGGTTAAGCGGCCCTCAGTCGATGACGACGTTGTCGCCGGGCCCCGCAAGCAAGCACGCACAGACCCGGGTGTCCCCCGACAAATTGGTAAGTACACAATCTGTGTGATGCACCTTAGCACATCACGATAATCCATGCATGCCTCTCAATCAGTCGAAGCCCCTCCTGCGCCATCAAAAGCATGGAAAGGCAAGGAGCGAGCAGCTCCCAGGTTGCTGTCTGTGGTAAGAAGTTGGATGCTCACACACGCGCCGCTTTGCTGACATGTATTCGTTCCACTAGATCGCCCCAGCCACGTATGTAGTTTTAGTCGGCCGCACTCGCTGATAACCCATTAGTTTGCATGTCGCCCACAGGACGGCATTGCAGCTCGATCACCGCCCCTCCGGACTTGTCGCCCCTCCACCGTCTGTAGTACCTCCGCCTGATACTGCCCCCGCCTCCACCTCTGCATCATCTATGGCGACGTCAGCTCAGTCCACGCAGCCCCCCGCGATTGCACTGTCGCCCCTTGCGTCTCTCACCACACTCACCACGGTCTCGGGCGCCACCGACGTT